AGCACCTTTCCTGAGGGCACAGGTTCTCACTCGAAGCCCCAGAAACTCTACCCAGAGTCGCCTACTTCAGCTGAGAAGGTGCTGAGCACCTCAGCATCTCTCTTGAAGGTCAAAGTCCTGGCTGCGGCCCCAGCAACCATGCCTGGTGTTGCCCATTTGAGCTGAGGAGCTGTAGAGCACCCCTTCCTCTCTCAGGATCCCGGCCATGGCACCAGTGAGTCTGCCCAAGGTTGCCCACTCTGGCTAAGGAGCTGCAGTATACCCCGACACTTCTACCAGGTTCCTGAGATCTTGCCCACAACCACAGCAATCCTGCCTAGTGTTGCCTATTCCAGCTTCATTAAAGATTATTATAAACTACTACATGCCAGCAAATTTGAAAACCTAGAGGAAATGGATAAATTTCTGGACACACACAATCTACCAAGACAGAACCAGGAAGAAATAGGAAATATGAACAGATCAATAGCAAGTAATGAGATTGAATCAGTAATCAGCAGGCTTCCAACAAAGAAAAGTGCAGCACTGGTTAGCTTCATTGCTGAATTCTACCAAACTTTTAAGGAAGAATTAATACCAATTCTTCTCAAAGTATTCCAAGAAAAATTCAAGTAGAGGGTATTCTTCCAAACTCATTCTATGAGGTCAGCAATACCCTGATATTCAAAGATCATCAAAGCAATGCCTCCATATGTGGTGGCCAATACACAATTCGTTCTACTTGTGCAAGTGTAGGAGTTGAAGTATTTTTTAATACCAGTGAATTAAAATTGGGCATCAGTTCCTGAACCTGCCATAATTTCATTCTAGAATGACGACATCACAAGGTAAAGGAGGCAAAGAGGAGCTGCTCAGGTACCAGAAGCAGCCTCTTGCACTTCAAGGAGTTTACAGCTCTCTGTTCTGGCTTCCTGCTAGGAAAGGCCTCCCCACTGATTGTATACAGACTGAAGTATAACCCACTTACTGAGGGCCTGGAGAACTGCAGGGGCCAGGCCACACTCTTTCTCTTTTTGACCTGCTAGGAAAGGCCTCCCCACTGATTGTATACAGACTGAAGTCTAACCCACTTACTGAGGGCCTGGAGAACTGCAGGGGCCAGGCCACACTCTTTCTCTTTTTGACAAAGGCTGCAGCACAGCTAAAGGAGGGCTGGCTGGCCAGCTTCCTAAGCACAGCTCAGAGGAAACAAACAGCTGGCCATGGCCACAAATTCCACAGCGATGTCCTCTAATAAACTTCTGTATAGCAAAAGAAACAATAAACAGAGCAAAGAGGCAACTTGCAGAATGGGAGAAAATATTTGTATACTATTCATTGACAAGGGATTAATATCCAGAATATACAAGGTACTTAAACAATCAACAACAAAAGCACAAATAATCCAGTTCAAAAAGGGCAAATGACCTGAAGAGACATTTCTCAAAAGACATACAAATGGCCCAAAGGTACATGAGAAAATGCTCGGCATCACCAATCATGAGGGAAATGCAAATCAAAACCATAATCTCACCCCAGTTAGAATGGCTATTATCAAAAAGACAAAAAATAACAAGTGCTGGTGAGGATGTAGAGAAAAGGTAACTCATACACTGTTGGTGGGAAGTAAATTAGTACAGCCATTATGAAAAACAGTATGGAGGTTCCTCAAAAAACTACAAATAGAATTACCGTACCATCCAGCAATTCCACTACTGGGTATATATCCAAAGAGAAGGAAATCAGTATATGGAAGAGATATGTTTAATGCAGCACTTTGCACAATAGCCAAGATACGTAATTAACTTAAGTGTCCATCAACAGATGAAGAGAGAAAGAAAATGTGGTGTTTATGTACAATGGAATACTACTCAGCCATGAAAAGGAATGAAATCCTGTCATTTACAGCAACATGGATGAGACTGGAAGACATTATGTTAAGTGAAATAAGTCAGACACAGAAAGATAAATCCCACATGTTCTCATTCATATGTGGGAGCTAAAAAAGAAAAATCTGAATTTTTAGAAGTAGAGCTAAGAATTGTGTTTACTAGAGGCTGGGAAGGGGGAATAGAGGGATGAAGAGAGATTGGTTAATGAGTACAAAATTACAGCTAGATAGGAAAAATATGTTTTAATGGTGTATGGTAGTGCTAGGCATCTATAATTAACAATAATTTATTGTATGTTTTCAAGTGGCTAGAAGAGAGGGGCTCAAATGTTCTCATCACAAAGAAATGGTAAATTTTTATAATGATGAAATACTAATTACCCTGATTTGATCATACGCTGTATACATGTTGAAACATAACTCTATACCCCATTAAAAAAAAACCAAAAACTTTTGTATTGCAAATGATACCATTAAGAAAGTGAAAAAGACAATCCAGATAACGGGAGAAAACATTTGCTAATCATATACCTGATTAAGAGTCTCACATCCAGAATATTGAAAGAACTCTTAAAACTCACTAATAGAAAAATAAATAACTAAAATTTAAAATTGGGCAAAGGATCTAAATTTCTCCAATGAAGACATACAAACGGCCAATAAGCACCTGAAAAGATGCTCAACATCATTAGTTATTAGGGAAATGCAAACCAAAACTATGAGACACAACTTCATGTTCACCATGATAGCTATAAACAAAATGGCAGATAATAACAAGTGTTGTTGAGAATGTGGAGAAATTAGAACCTTTATTCATTGCTGGTGGGTATGTAAAAAGGTACAGTCATGTTGGACCACAGCCCAACAGTTCTTCAAAATGTAAATATAGAGTCCATATGACACAGCAATTCTTCTAGATTATACCAAGGGGAATGAAAACATACATCCACACAGAAACTTGTACACAAATGTTCAGAGCAGCATCACGATAGCCAAAAAGTGGAAACAAACCAAATGTCCACCAATTGATGAATGAATAAATAAAATGTGGTGTAGCCATACAATGAAATATTTTTTGTTGACAGTAAAGAATGATGTAGCGATAGATATTACAACATGGCTAAGCCCTGAAAACATTTTGTCAATTGAAAGAAGCTAATTCCAAGAAAGACTACATATTATATCATTTCGTTTATATAAATGTCCAGAATAGGCATATCTATAGAGACAGAAAGTAGATCAGTGATTCCTAGGGCTGGGAGGGGAGAGGAATGAAGGTCAATTGCTAATAGGTACAGGGTTTTTGGGGGGATGATGGAAATGTTTTAAATTTACATTGTGGTGATGGTCAAACATCTCTGTGACTAAATATTATATCATTTCGTTTATATAAATGTCCAGAATAGGCATATCTATAGAGACAGAAAGTAGATCAGTGATTCCTCGGGCTGGGAGGGGAGAGGAATGAAGGTCAATTGCTAATAGGTACAGGGTTTTTTGGGGGATGATGGAAATGTTTTAAATTTACATTGTGGTGATGGTCAAACATCTCTGTGACTAAACTAAAACCACTGAGTTATATACCTTCAGTAGGTGAATGTTATGATATGTGAATGATATTTCAGTAAAGATGTTTTTTTCTCAAAGTCAGAAAGGCAGAATGGTATTTCTTTTAACTTATCAAGAATCCTGAAGGGTCACAGCTTTGGAAAGGGTTCTGTCTGCAAGCAACGATTTGGCAAGGTATTTAATATGAAGCTGATTCACACAGTCATCTATTCTTGGTATCAGCAGCAAAGAGGAAAGAAATAAGGAAGAGCAGAGATCAATAATCACATATTGTGAGAATCGCAATCTAAGCAGTAGAATAAAAATATATATAAGGTATGACAAATGATTAAATAAATATAAGTATGGTAAATATATATGCAATCACTAAGTGTGGCTTTTCTAAGTCGTCACCTTTGGAACCTAAGCAAAAGCCTGTACTTTAGCTTTTTGGAGTTCTCTTATTCTCAGTTTTTTTAAGTTCAGAGCCCAAGAAAACTGGTCACTCATTTCATGTGATTTAAGACTATTCCCCTAATTTGGCCATCCATTTATTCAGACTTGGCTCTGAATGTTCCTTTACGGGGCATTTCAAAAACAAACTCACTCAAAGAATAATGAGTAGATACAACTGAGAATATGTGAAAGAATGTGCTGAAAGGTGGTCTAGAAATGTTGATATAATTAATCTTTTACTTTTACTGTCTATAGACAATAGCTGAAAAGTGCTTTTAAACTACAATGCTATGAGTTTTCAAAATCAGGCAGTCTCATGCTGAAGTTAAAACTACATGGTGAAGCAAATGTAACCTCCTCTTCTCCATCTCCACTACTACCACCTAACCTAACTAAGTCCCTTCAACTTTCCCCTTGAAGCTCTGCATCTAACAGGTCTCTCCACTATACTCTTGTCCCCCCCATGGTCCATTCTCCATAAAGCAGCTAGAACAATCTCACTCTCTTTTCCAGACCCTCTAAACCTGCACTTGGTCTGACCCCTGTTGGCCTCCCCCTGCTCACGATGCCCACAGTGGTCTCCAGGCTCAGGAGAGGCCAAGCTTGTTCCTGCTCAGGCCTCTGCACAAGCTATTACCAGTTTCCTGGATCGCTCTTCCTGCTCTTTGCACAGCTGGCTTCTTACTATTTAGACGTCACTCTTTGGAGAGGACTTCTCAGACTACACAGTACCTATCACATCACAACATTTCAGTTCTCCACACAGTACCTCTTTTGATATCTATCTGTCATTTGCCACCCTCCCCCCTACTAGAAATGCAATCTCCTGAGGAGTAGCTATAGCATATGGCCTGGGAAACACTGCTTTCCCAGTGCCTAGGACAGTGTCTGACTCTCCTAGAATGAACTAGTGACTACTAGTCCAGATTTCAGTAAAATCATTAAAACCTAATGATTTCCAAATCTACTGAAAATCTATTGAAGCAGGTTTATAAAAATTCCTATTGTATTTCTCTATCAAATACATTGCTTCCCTGAATTCAATCTGAAAAGATATGCTCTTTTCTACAATTCTAAAGCAGGAAATCCCAAAGTGCTTCAGACTAGTTAATAACATTATACTTACTCTGGCAGACATTTATATTTCTCCAAATCAATTTCTGGGAAGAATGTGTCACTTTCAAAGTCCTGCATGATCCTTGTCACAAATAGTTTAACATGGCCTGGGTGACCCATGGCTTCCTTTGAAATAAAATAAAGGACATTAATTTCCTCAATCTGTGTCAAAAAACAGAAACTCTAAAATTTTTGTTTTAATTAGTTTTTACTAGGTATTAAAGACATGCTTATTACTGCCAAAGTACTATTTAAATATCCTATTATTTAGTTTGAGGCTCTGCAAAGTGTGCCTTAATTATATTGAGAATAGCACTAATCATTATCAATAATTATGAGACTGAGTTTAAATATATTCTGGCTGCTAGTTTGCTTATAAGAACTCTTTTTTAATATAAGCATTCAGTTTTGTTGTTTCCCTTTGGCTGCTGTTTTAAGAGTTAAGAGCTCCAAATTACTATCTAGTTGCTTTCTATAGTAAAATGTTCATATGTATATATGGATAAGATAGTACAACTTCATGAGAACTTGACTACTGAAAACCCCAAGGGCATATATAGTATACTTAAATAAAATTTAGTAATGTTTCCATTTCTCAGGAAATAGTTACAATGCTAATAGGTAGGTAATTCATTCTGCCTCTTTTTGATAGCAATTGTATTGATTCTTATATTGTTAATTACTTTTCTAACTACTGCCTACAGTACTGTTGATAGTTTCTACAGAAAAAAATGCTTTGGAACAAATATCTTAAAATTCTGATAAAAAGTATGAGTCCTAACTGCAGCTCCAAGAAAGCAATAACTCTTGATTTTCAAATAGCTTATAGGGAAAAGAAAATATATACACAAACACATAAACACACAATTCCAAGTGCTTATTATCCTTAAGATTCCAGATAAGGGCATAGAATACATTTTACTTTTTATTTTCAATACTTCAGCTTATATTAAATCTTTTTTTAATCTTTGCTAAAACCAAATAAATATTTTGCCAAATCTTATTGTACCAAAAACTAGAAAAAGTGAATACAGTAGTCTTCCCTTATCTGCAGTTTCACTTTCCATGGTTTCAGTTACCCACAGTCAATCTTGGTCTGAAAATATTAATGAAAAATCCAGAAATAAACAATTCATAAGTTTTAAATTGTGCACTGTTCTCAGTAACGTGATGAAATCTTTTACTTCCAGCTCTGTCCCACCCAGATATAGTTGATGACATAAAGCAAACTTTCTGTAGCAGGCCAGATGGTAAATATTTTAGGCTTTGGGGGTCACTGGGTTTCTTACTTTTGTAGGCAAAAAACAGCCATTAAAAAATACTAAATGAGCGTGGCTATGTTCTAATCAATGAAACTTTATTTACAAAACAGGCTGGTAGGTCCGATTTGGCCCATGGTAATACAAGTCTGAATGATCTGCAAGTTGCTGTGATGTGAGGTAGGTGGATAGTGTAAAACTATCACCTCATGGTTCTATTTTCTTATTATTTATATATGTATAGATATAACAAATGATATGCATGCAATTAAGTGCTTATATTATTTGAAGAATACATTTTCAAGTATAATATTGATTATTCAAAATGTGAACAAAATAAACAAGTTGCTTTTCTTTCTTAGAAGAAATTCATACTTGGATGAAAACATCAAAGAAAAAATGTCCATTTTTTTTCTATTACAAATAGGGAAAATAAGAGATTATAGAAACAGGAACCTAAGAAACTGTGAGGTTTTATAAACCCATCTAGGATTCCGGAATACCTTTTCTTTCTGAAATAATTTCAGTGTATATATGAGTATGTTAACACAAGCCCCAAAGGGTAGGGACTGATTTTCTTCCTCCCCACAAATGTTAATCTTTCATTAGTGTTTTAAAAGAATCAAAAAATTCTATTTATGATCTTCAAAATTTTTTAAACCTGGAAGTCATTTGGTATCAAGAAAAAGTAATATTTTCTCTTTTACATACTATTTTCCTTTATGATATGAAATCATGTAAGCATTCTGCTATACCCTCACATGATATAAAAATTGAGGAAAAGTTTTCTGCTTTTAACAAATTCACACATCTAGTTAGTGTATATCAACCAAGAGCCTCATCCCTTTCTTAGTAAGAGACATTTATATTGAAATAAAATGGCTAACTCAGCATATCTAGGGCATATCCTGGGAGAAGAAAAGAGTGCAGTAAAAGTACAATTCTCAGGGAGGGATTTAGAATGGCTTTTAAATTGGAAACACCAACTATTTTGAGTTGAAAATAGACTAGTACTTGGGCCAGATGTTGGCCAAAAAATACAAAATTTCAGTTAGATAGGAGGAATAAGTTTAAGAGAGCTATTGTACAACGTGGTGACTATAGTTAATAACAATGTATTGTATTTCTGAAAATTGCTAAGAGTAGAATGCTAAGTGTTCTTATCACAAAAAATAAGTGAGGTAATGCATGTTAATTAGCTTGACTTAGCAATTCCACAATGTACACATATTTCAAAACATGGACACAGTAAATATATATAATTATTTGTCAATTTAAAACGTAAAAAGAAAAGAGACTGGTACAGACTAAAAAAATTATTTTTATTTTTTATTAGTTTGCATGATAATATCCAACAATGAATAACTCAAATTGCCAATATGTCTGACTTACATATTAGGGATAATGTGCTGCTTCCTATGACCATAGCTTAATTTTTTTTATGGTTCAGACTATGGGTTATGTCCTGTCCTCATTACCTGCCTTTCAATGGCAGGAAAGCTGAAAGAAAGTAGAGTAGAACACATCTGTATACTTATAGACAACTTCACTTACCTTATAAACAGAACTGCCTCCTACTATCCAAACCATGTCTACTTTATTTGCTAAATCCGGTTGCTCAATAAGCTTTAAGGCATCATCCAGACTTCTCGCAAGAAAATGAGCTCCCTGTGGAGGTTCTCTGAGGTTTAAAAGAAGAATTACACATAGTTTTTATAAAACTCATTCATGCTAGTCAAATAGTCTAAATAGGAAGCAGTAATTACAAAACTAAAATCATTATAAATATAAATCCTTTCAACAAAAAGTATTTAACATTAGTATGGCCTATGACCAATACTTCAGCCTACATTTGTGCATCTATGGTCCACAATGAATCAAAATCCAAAGTCACATGTGATATATCGTGATATCCATGGTAGAAAAAAAAATCAGAACAGTAGTTGTTTCTGGAAGAGTGAGATAAAGATTAACTGTGACCAAAAAAAAAAAAGATTAACTGGGACAGGGCATGAAGAAACTTTGTGGGGAAGTGGTAATATTCTATATGTTTGATTATAAACATGGGTTTGGGTTACAGAGGTGTATACTTTTGTCAAAACTTAGCAAATGTACACTTAAGACTTGTGCATCTTACTGTACGTAATATTTACCTCAAAAGGAAAAAAAGTGTAAAGAAATATTGAATTCCAATTGATGATATGTATGATGAAGTATTTAGGGGGAAATATACTAATGTCTACAATTTATTTTGAAATGCATAAATGAACAAGACTGATTGATGGATGGATGGACAGATGATAAAGCCAGCCCAGTAAAATGTTATTGATAGAATGTAGATGATGGGTATACAGCTGTTTACTGCAAAGTTCTTTCTGTATGTTTGAAAATTTTCATGATAAAATGGTGAAAAAGGAGTGATATGTTTGAAAGACTGTAGAAAAGTTTGGAATGATATTCAGACCTTTAATATGTGGTTACCTTTGGGGACTGGGGAAAGTACTTTCACGCTTCAAACGACACAGAAATGTGGGAAGTATTAAAAAAAGAGCTTGTACAAGGAACTCGAACAACTCAATAGAAAAAAACAAAACAAAACAAAACAAAAAAAACAACCTGATTAAAAAATGGGCAAATGACCTGAACAGACATTTCTCAAAAGACACAAATGGGTATATGAAAAAGTGCTCGACATCACTAATCATCTATGAAATGCAAATCAAAACCACAATGAGATATCATCTCATTCCAGTTAGAATGGTTATCATCAAAAAGGCAGAAAATAACAAATGCTGGCAAGGATGCAGAGAAAGGAGAACTCTTATACATTGTTGGTGGGATGTAAATTAGTTCAGCCATTATAGAGAACACTATGGAGGTTCTTCAAAAAACTATGGATAGAACTGCCATACGATACAGCGATCCCACTGCTATGTATATATCTACAGGAAAGGAAATCAGCATGTGGAAGGGATACTTGCACTCCCATGTTCATTATGACTATTAACAATAGCCAAGATACGGAACCAATCTGTGTCCATTAATGGATGACTGGATAAAGAAAATGTACAATAGAACACTACTCAGCCATAAAAAAGAATGAAATCATGCCATTTGTGGCAATACAGATGAGCTTGGAGAAAATTACATTAAGTGAAAAAAGCCAGGCAGAGAAAGAGAAATACTTCACATTCTCACAAGTGGAAGCTAAAAAAATTGACTTCATAGAAGTAGAGAATAGAATAGGGGTCACTAAAGACTGGTTAAGAGCAGGGGAAAGGGGAGGATAGTCAATGGATACAAAATTGCAGCTAGATAGGAATAAGCTCTAGTGTTCTATAGCACAGTAAGGAGACTACAGTTAACAATTTACTGTATAATTTCAAATAGCTAGTAGAGAGGATTTTCAGTGTTTTCAACACAAAGAAATGACAAATGTTTGAGGTGATGGATATGCTCATTACTCAAATATGATCACTGCACACTGTATACATGCACACAAATACCATATTGTACCTCATAAATATATACAATTATCATGTGCCAATTAAGAAAACATAAACTAAAATTTAAAAAATAGAAAATGAGCTGCTGTGCATTGAATGTTGCCCCAAAACTCAATGAAGCTCAATCCCCACCATAACATTTTTATTTATTTTTATAGTATATGATAATCGAATCAATATTATTAGCGTTTTCACCACTACAAATCGTCATTATTCTTTGTGTCCCTTATCCAAGTACTCCCTAGCCCCTCTTTCCCTCCCCTACCTCTAGTAACTATAGGTCTGTTCTCTCCTTCTGAAAGCTCATTTCATTGTGGTCCTTCCTTCCTTCCCTCCCTCCTGCTTATAAGTGAAGACATGGTATTTCTCTTTCTGTGCCTGGCTTATTTCACTTAACATAATTTTCTCCAAGCTCATCCATGTTGCTGTGAATGGCAGTAGTTCACTCTTTTTTATGGCTGGGTAGTATTCCATTGTGTTTATATACCACATATTCCTTATCCAGTTGTCCACTGATGGACATTTAGGTTGGTTCCATATTTTGACTACTGTAAAGTAGAGCTGCGATGAACATGGGTGTTCAGGTATCCCTTCAACATGATGATTTCCATTCCTGTGGGTATGTACCCAGAAGTGGGATTGCTGAATTGTATGGTAGGGGTTGGGAGTAGGAACTGATATCTGTAGGGTACCTTCTTTGTGCCAGAAACCTTACATATAAAATTTCAATGAATCTTCAAAATTACCCTAAGAAGTTGTTATTAATCCTAGGAAATTGAGGTTTAGCAAGGCTTACTTGTAACCTGGCTAGAGCCACTATGTTAAGAGGTGCCAGAGCAGATACAAGAAGCCAGGCCAGTCAGTGTTCACTATACTGTGTGAGTGGTAGGGAGAGAACTGCAGTGTTAAGAAAAGAAAGTTTTAATCACTGTGAAGAATACGATGGTGAAATTATAAAAAAATTATATCATGAAATTTAGATAATTTTCATGGATTGGAGACAATTTTCAACACCTTATAACATGAAGGCAATTTTGGATTTTCTGAAGATGGTATTAAGGCTATGGCATTGCAATAAAACTTGCTTAATTTTTGGTTTCAAAGACTTTAAAACTGCTTTGAGATATAAATCATATACCATGCAAATCGCCCTTTTAAAGTGTACAATTCAGTGATTTTTAGTATATCCACAGTTGTGCAACCATCACCCATATCTACTTGCAGAACATTTCCGTCACCCCTAGGAAAAAATCCTTTACCCATCAGCAGTCACTCCCCCTACTCCTCATCTCAATTCTTTTAATGCCACAACTTGATCATCTATTAAGTTTTGGAAAAGCATTTATTCCCCTATGTCCTATTAAGGAAATATTTATTCCAAATAACGAGTGTTTGGCAGAAAGTTTTGGGGTTACCTTGAGGATTCAGTTTCTTACATTGGGGGAGGAGGGTGAAAAATTGAGTATCTTTATTTACTATTTATTTATTTATTTTTTTTAGATGACCGGTAAGGGGATCTTAACCCTTGACTTGGTGTTGTCAGCACCACGCTCTACCAAGAGAGCTAACTGGCCATACCTATATAGGGATCTGAACCCATGGCCTTGGTGTTATCAGCACCACACTCTTCCAAGTGAGCCACGGGCTGGCCCAAAATTGAGTATTTTTAAAAGCTTGCATAAGCAATAGTGATTTCCGTGTGTAAATCTCTGTCCCTTTATTCAGGACCATGCAGTGCCTGGCAAGGTAACAGATGTTCTGTGTGTGTGTGGAATTGAACAGCAATTACGGAAGCAAGAGGAAAGACAAAAAAATGAACTCTAACGTTTTTTGCCAAGTGGTTTCACTACTTCCCTGGCATACTTGATAATAAAGACTTTAAATTTTCTCAGCCTTAAAAAAAAAAAAAAAAAAGTGAAATAAACCAACAATTATATATAAATACATAAGAAGCAACCATACCCAATTACATACACCACAGGAGGGGTCATAAGGAAGAAATTAGATTCACCATTTCATCATTTGAGAAGAAATGTGGCTCAATTGAACATCAACCTCACTGAGCTCAAGCTAGCCATAAATAAACTTGAGGACTGTTCAAAAATGTTATTAAAGAGTCTCTGAGAGTGGCAATATAGTCTGTGAATTTGAATTCTACCAAGTAAAGAGAAAATCAGAATATCCTAGCAACCAGGAGAGAGAACAGCAGGAAGATAGAGGCAGATGGCAAGATGCACACCAACATATACCCCATCACCCAGAGGCATTCAATGCAAATACTATGGTACCCTTTATTCTAGGTTTTACCTATGCCATTATAGGAGGGATAGGGAGAAAATCTATATAAGCCTGAATCCCCTCAGCCTATAGTGGTGTAATGCTTTTTCCTTTTCATGGTGTGTTAACTTGGCTAGGCTACAGTCCCTGGTTATTAAGACTCTAGTCTAGGTGTTGCTGCAAAGGTATTTTGTAGATGTGATTACATCTATAATTAGTTTACTCTAATCTGGCTGGACCTGATTCAATCAGTTGAAAGGCCTCAAGAGAAGGGTTGAGGCTTTCCTGAAGAAGAAATTTCACTTGCACAGCTTCAGCCCTGCTAGAGAGTTGCAGCCTACCCTACAGATTTTTGTAGGTAAGCCCCTACAATTATGTAAGCCAATTCCTTACAGTAAAACTCTAATATATTTATCTTCTACTGGGTCTGCTTCTCTGGTTAAACCCTTAATAATACACGTGGTAAAGGAATATTACGACCACTGTTCTCAAGCAAGTAGTGCCCTAGGATATTGCATTCTTTTTGGTGTTACATTATTAGTTTAAGAAAGGATGATTAACATGCCAATCCCAGACTTTCCCTTAGGTTTAATTCAGGTCAACTCCCCTCCCCCCCACCAAAAAACCCCCTGAGATTCATAAAGTTATTTTAGTGGGTTAGAACTGATGTCAAAAACAAAAAGAAACAAACAAGATAGAACTTAGGAAACATCACATGTGGAGTAAATGACACAGAAGCCATGGTCAAGGTCAAACCAGTGGATATGATTTTGTGGGCATTCTTAATGCAATTATCCCCCCACCCCTCACCCCCAGTTCCTAGAGCATTTCCAGGCATCAGGAACTATCCACTCCAATGTCAGATCGCAGGACATGAAAATTCTTAGTAGAGACCAACTGGAGACACTCCCTTCTACTCAGGATCTCTCAGATCATTTCAATACTTTGAAAGTTTTCACTTTCAGACACTGGGTAAAGAACACAAGTGCAAGGTATTACTTGTGTGTTGTGGCTAACTAGAAATAATAGGGCATAGATTACGACCAGTTTCAGTCTATCCTAAAATTCACATCTTATTGCATTTAGGGCTGGGTCCAGAGAGGGAAAACCACTTAATTTTGGCAAGTCTCAAAACATACATATTTTGATTTTGTGTGAAACTAGAAAAAAGTTACTGATTACATTGCATAATTGGTATTTGAGCCTACTGAATAAAGGTTCAAAGAAACTTATAAATCTATTACCATAGATAGATTTAATGTTTAATATAGCTTTTCAAGGTGATGAAATCAATTAATCACTTAAGTAGTAGAATAAGTTATTGTCATGTGGTATAAACAACTGCTTATTCATTTCCTCTAATCACTTTTGTACTTTCAAGCAACTTCATCAATAGCTACTTTCATACTATTTCATTTTGTTGTATACTGATCTCTACTATAAGAAAAGAGACATGATTTTCTTTTGAATTTATGTTACCAGACTTACTTGAGTTCTCTACTGAGAACTAAATTAATTCTGTTCTTTAAAGGTCGATTCTTCTCAGGAATGGAGAACCAGGTCTTCCTACCCATAATCACCAAATTCTGTTTATCTATAAAATCACAGAGAAAGGATAAGTATATTTTGGGAATATACAGATATTTTCATATATTCATATGTACACGAGTATGTGCATAGATATGATTGTGACAGTGACATCTAGTGGATCTTCTTAAAAAAATTAAAACTTGAAACAGTTTTATCAAAATTCATATTTCTTACGCATTACCTAGAAATGTTAACTATTTTTCCCTTTGCTTTATCCCATGGACATCCAATATCTAGTTTTAATAAATTGCAATCATGTATAATGTAATAAAGAATAAAAATTCTGGCTCAGAGTGCTCGAGTTGGATGCATTCTGTCATCTGCTAGGCAAATCATGTTAACCACTTGTGCTTTACTTTCATTTATAAAATGGTTTGATGTGGGGATAAAAGACTTAGAACAGTGTTCAACATCTAATAATATGATTACAACTGTTTGATATAATTGTATTATTCATATTTGTGTACTTTGTAGATTTACATTAAGTCATACTTCTAAAAATAGCTGTTTAATAGTCCCCTCAATTACTTTAAAACATATTTGATTGTGTCTCTAACTTCTCTTTCAAGTATAACTCTTCTATAAAAACTTTATACATTTGGTTTCCATTTTTGGTTTAATTTCTTTGGGAAAAACAACTTGAGAGTCAGACATCTGGATCAAAGGAACATTAACGTTACCAGACCATACTCAAGATTCTTGAAGGGGTTTGTGTCAGTTCTTTAGCTTTGGTCTCTTGCCATATCATCTCTACCAGTGATCTATGTGCCAAATCCAAGGGCCTTGTATCTGTCTCATTAAAGTTCTGCAGCATCTGCTTCTTTCTGATATACAATGTTTCCCTGTTTACTCTGCCATTCCTCCTCAGACCGTGAATATACGGCTCTCTTAGGTTTTAAAGGAGGTTTCTGTCCACCCCCATATCCTTTTCCTTAGTTATCCTCTTCTCTCCAATGGCTCAATTCACCTAGTTCCCTGTGCCTGAAATTATCCTGGATGTCCTACAGGCACCTCGAAATCGTGTCATTACAATTGCACGCTATTCTCCATTCCTTTATTTTCCGTGCCACCCAGACTCTCAAACTGAAAATCTAAGTTCATCCTTGCCTTCATACATTACCTTCAAACTCCAGATCTGCAAAATCGAGTATCATGTATCCGTTTAAAAATTTTTTATCCTCTCTTCTCACTACCCTCATTCAGTCTTTATACCTTCCAGCAGCTATTCTAAAGGTCTCATTGGTTTCCTTTCGGAGCGCACCAAAACCTCTATCCAGCTGCCAATTTTGCCCAATACCTGGACTGTACACGCGTGCCGGCATAAAATATCAAATAAATTTTAAAAAATCTTTAATGAACCTTAGGAACTGCATACAGATCAATGGTAACAGAAAAGGTCCCAGAGTAACCTGGAAAACTTTCCATTTAAATAACATTTGCATTGGTAAGCCACCTCAATCACTTAAAAATCCCACATTACCTTCTACCGAAGAAACTGTGGTCATTCTCTGGAAATACTTGAATTCATTCCTACAAGTTAGAGAAACACAGAGTTAACCAGACATTATCCCGTGGGCTTAAGCTCTAGCGCGCCCGACAAAACGGTGCGCTGGCGGCGGGGTGGGAATGTTTTTCCAGGGCTGGGACTTTGCTCTGGGCCAGGGCGCCGCGAGCCAAAGGCTTCGCAGGGCAGCAGGATGGGGACGGAAATCAACCTGGCTTCCAGCGTTGCAGAAGGAAGCCAGCCTGGGCCCACCCCCTCCTGTCAGCTCAGGTCGCAAGTCCGATGCCATCCTCCCGGGGCGAATCCGCCCGCGCATTCCAGCCCAGGGTCCCGATTAAGGGCAGCCTGTGCCAGCCTCGGTCCTTCCGCCCCGGCAGGTACCTGAGCGGGGGCCAGGGCAGGTCCCCGTCCTTGCCGATGCCCATGTTCTGGGACACAGCGACGATGCAGTTTAGCGGACGAACCATGGTAGCAGCAGCAAACACCTCCGAGCTGCTCGCGACACTCGCCTTACCCGCCAAGTTTGGCGCGAAATTGGGGCAACCCCGCCCCTCGGCCCCATTGGTGCAGGCGAGGCCCCGCCCCCCGCCCCGGCGCACGGCAGGGTCGCGGCGTGCTCGCGCCCGCAGACGCCCGCGAACTGCGACCGCGGGCTA